CATAATGTTACGTGAGTCCAAGTTTTCCGCGTTTTAGCAAGCGTAAAATTAGACCGGCGCCCCTACTTCCTTCGGCGATAATTTTCTTCGATATCATTAATTAGCCTCAATCAGAATAATTCGTCTTATTTCGTTGTCGTATCTGTCGCTACGGTTCATCGAGATCCTGTTCCGAGGGTTTAAAACTGTCTCTCGAGTGTACTATAAATTGCAACGATAGTGTCGCGTGATATCTGAGAAGAAAAGCCCGGCTTTCATTCTCGATGCACTCTCGGTCGCGACTCGTCTTTGCTATCTTTCATCCCCCGGTCTCACTATTCGCGATATCAAGCTCGGCTTATCGAACGATTTGCACCGTAACAATCTCTGTGGACAATCATTTCTTATCTATTAACATAATTCTTGCTGAATTTAAAATGTTTGATATCTTTCAAACATGAAAAACCGTATTAATCGTAAATTCTGCATCGAATTCAAATTTAAATGCAAATCATTGTAATTAAGATTATCAATGTGTAAAGCTATTTATTCATAAGTATTTTTTCTAATATCGTACTACCTTGAAAGAGTATTATTCCTTTTTATATATCGATAGTTTTACGTATTAACGATTGAACAGCACACATTTTCATTGAAAAAGATGACATTTTTTGATCGTTGTTATGATGATTTTTGTTAATGTTTTAATTTTAATGTCACTTAGCTGCAATTAGTAAATATCTGAAGAACCAAGGATGTAAGCTTTCTAAGAATAGATAATTGAGCGAAATTTTGTAAATAACCAAAAATATACGTAATGTTATGACGATCTATAGAATTAGTTTTTAAATCGTTTATTAGGTTTTCCGCCTTTGGTTTTCAATCGTAATTACAACGATTTGAATTGAAGCTGGCCGTCGATGAATTCAATTGAAAGAGGTCAAGTTCAACTTCGATTTCGTTCTCCTAAGATAACACTAGCTTATGAGAGGGGTTCATCGTCACTGAAGACAGTTTGACAGAATTTGGGACGTTTTTTTTTGCCTCTGTTCATACCTCCACTGGAGGCGCGACGATCCATGACTCGGAGGCCCTCCTGGCCATCAGAGCGGGGCTGCATAATAGCGCCTCTTCCTCCTCGTCGGGTTCCGACCACAACATCTTTGCCTCGAACTTCCTTTCTTTCCAAAGTGTCTAAAGTTCACGGTCGAGAGCCGACAGCTCGAACTCGTCCGAAGCACCGGTCAATACCGTTGTTCTACCTTCTACCGGCTCGATCTGAACATTTCTATTCAGTTTCTCACAACAAGGGATCTCGAACAAGCTTCTTTTACAGCGATCTGTCCGGACCCCGTGGCGCTTTTCTCTTTCCAGATGTTCTTGATAAGCGCTTCTTTTAGTTCACAACGATGAAAATGGAAAATTCGGACCTGCAGCCTCCTGGTGAGGAAGCCAGGCCGCAGACTGAACGGCCCTGGCTTGTTCGACCGAAATAGAGAGACGCCCCACTATTTTCACGTCGAAATAGCATCGACGAACAGCACGTCGCGACGCTCACGGCTGTGAATCGACAACGGATGCCAGAGCCTTGTCGATCCGCTGCTCGTTGATTTATGACACCCTGTCGTCGAACAGTCCTCCCCGTTAACTTTATTTTGGAGTCACACTCGGAATTGTCGCTTTTTCGCATCGTGCATCGTATCGGGCGATAGTTATTGATCGGTATTTTTAGTCGAGCTCCGTTCTGGGCCGGATGTTGATCTATCCAACGATGAAGCCAGAGGGCCGCTTCTTCGCTCCTGACCACGCAAGGAACTGTTTGCTTTTGTTTCAACATTGAACTTGGATTCTTACAATTTACGGAATCTATCATTTATTTTCGTCGAATCGATTTTTATTTGCTCTGAAAAAACTTGTGGGTGGAATTGCGGAGGTTATGTTCACCTAGATATACTGATTACTCTCGCAGAAAAATAATCGTAGTTTCGTTTCGTTATTTCTGATAGTACATCCACGTTTAATTTCGTTCTTTTCAGACCCTGAACGATTGCGTATTCATTTTTTTAGAAAACGAGGAAACGGTAATAGGAAAGTTTTTCAATTTAGATTTTAAATAGAGAGAAACTGATATTAATTTGGAAGACGTCATTTGTGGCGCTTTCGCAAGTCAACTAACCACTAAATTTTTTGAAATTTTAGAGGAAATGTAGCTTTGAGCAATAAATTCGGCAAAAATACGAGTAAAAAATATATCATTGGTCAGGTCAGGAATAAACGCTTATCATGAAACAGGAAAAATGAGAAAAAAGAAGAGGTATAACGCAGGGACGAAGAAAATTGCGTAGGGTTGTTCACGGGCGAAACACGACCGGAAATATTGTTACGCAAATAAAGTCGAACTCGCAATTCGCTGTCTGATTCATGTAGCTGGCATGCGAATAAATTCGTCGAAGGCGAAATTTTCGAGAATTCTACGCCCCGTCTTCTCACGCCAAGATGGGGCTCGGCCCACTTTATTTGCTTTCTTGTTTCCTTATTGCGTCTCGTTGTAGTCGTTTATATCATTTTATGAAACATCCAAAGATCTATATTGTCTATTTGTCAAGCAAACAGAATAACAGCAATGCTGTTTAGTACACATTATTTGTCAACAACAGTTTACATAAATTAATATATTACTCTTTTTTTCTTGGAATAGTCATCATGTTTTTCCTTCCAAACAGGATGTTATTTTTTTATTTCGTTCAGAAAAATATATGATATTTTCTGAATTCAATAACATCATTACACATTCATATTGACCAAGTTATCGCGTTAGACCACTTGTTTTTCAGTCAATTCATTATGGAATTTTAATCCTGGTGGCCATGGTGCAACAATAATTAGCTTTGTTAATTGAGGCGATAACGCGCATTGCAAATGCATTTCATTGCCGTGGTCTCCTGACCAATGACGTATCAGCGTACAAGGTAATCATTGTAGCAATTCTATATTTTTCTTATTTTAAAATAGTTTCTTCTTATGACAAGCATAGTATGCAGAATTTTTTTCTTCTCCGCTTTTTTCTAGCGTGCGAAAATACAACGTTTTTCGAGCAATGAATATCCGGTGGCTCGTATTCATGTTCTGATAAACAGTACGTAGATACTCTATGTAATTAACAAACAATTAATCTATCGGGATCATTGACTCAACGATTCGATAACATAGACGCAATTCAATTGAGAGGAAACTGATCGTAAAAGTGCAAACACCTAGTTTTCTAGAGGCTTTGCGGCCACGAGTTTCTGCATTGCAAATTTCTCGTTCGCGTCGTGTAATTCAGGTCGAAACACATGTTGACCTTATAAATATTTCAGGAAGCTCGTTTTACAGTTATACAGTTTACGATTTAATCGCGTTCGATGGCAAATTTAATCGATCTTTCGAGTTAATTAAGAAAATCTTTATTTCCAGTTTTGCAAACCAGTTTCGTCTTATAGAATGGTGACTCATATAGAACAGAATACAGCCTACACGGCAGATATAACGAGGCTCTGAAGATAACTTTCAAAAGTGCCTACTGCTCCTCCGAACATAGTTACGAAAATATCATCTGTTGTTTTCACGCCAATATATATTGTCTCGACGAGTGCGGACATCTTGTTGCATGTATTCGATGTACGCGTTTCTTGGCACGACTCTAAAGTCCAATTAAACCAGCATATTTCGTTATACAAAGTACACGAGATTTTTCTTTTGCCGAATTCTTGAACAATTTGTATTAGCGGCATCGTGAAGCAAGATATTTCAAGGCTTTGTCATTTCGATTTAATTTCAAGGTTACTGTTTACCACGATGACGAAACGATATCGAATTTTTCCGCTCATTCTACTCGTAAATATAACGAAATTGGTATAAAGAAATCAGTGTTTTCTGCAAAATAATAAGAAACGACGATGTGCATCCGAGTTCATCGGGATATCTGTAATTCACGCAAGCAAGAGGTCAAGGAACGTTCGAGGTTTTTCAAAATTTTAAATACTAGATATCCTCCTAATCGACATGTTTTAATCTGTCGGCCAATAACAGCTTTTACATCATATACATAAATACATTCAATACATCGAACCAACATTTGTAATATCGTTGTGTAATTAGCAAGGTTTCATCCCAATATATCTCTATATCGGTAAACTCGTTCCTCGAAATGTAACCTGGAAGTACATCGTTGCGTGTGTGCATTGGCTATTCTCGCTTATCGATCTGCTTTCCTCTAAGGACTCTCCTACTACGTTGTTCTCCTCTAATACAACACTATGAATTGTCTTTATATTAAAATACGTGAAATCCCGGTTATATGCCACGGTCAGTGTCTTTAGAAATCGTATCTACCGTTTTACAGAGTAAATCACAAACGCAATTTGAACATCTTAGAATTCTTCGTGCAAATATATCAAAAAATATTTTTTAAATACTTCATATTGTTTCTTTTTGTTAAGAAATATTTACACAAATCAATTATTTTTTAAAGAAGAATATTATTATTTATTAAAGAAATAGATAACTCTTAAATAGTTCGACGTGTAACACGTCATAACACCTTGTTACGCGTACGAGAGCTTACTATGTACGAGATAATGATCAAATTTCAACGTTTGTGCTGTACCCAATAGGATTATGTTGCATCTCAGATTCTCGTGAAAAGACACTTTCGAATAACTTGGCACTTGAACAACCCCGACGTTAGCTTCACGATACACCCACGATGGTGCTCGATATTTCGCATAAAAAATAGTGTTTGAAAGGTCAAGGAACTTGGGGAGGTTCAATTCCAACCGAGCTTCGTCGTCTAGATTATTCTCGTTTTGCGCTAAGGTTCCAGGTTTCATTCGATTGTATCTCAGGTCATAATCTTTTCCTCCTTCCCCCTTTTCTCTTTTACGTTGGTTTATTTAGTTTTCGTTTCTTTAGGCACGACCATTGTTGAGGTACAATTGCAACCACGTTGAATGGAGAAATTCTCGTAAAAAAGTTTCGTTCGAAATAAGCCTTTAACGAGTTTCCATCTTTTTCCATGTAAAAAACTTGCCATTGATCTCGTTCGCGTATAGAAAGGGTTAGAAATTTTCGTAGAAATTCTTAATTACTTCGAGTGTGTACAACCTTGAGCAATGTGACGCATTTAAAATTCAATGTTTGTTATCGGTGGTTATATTTTATCGAAATAAGTAAGCTTTAAACGTCATCAAAAAGTATTGTTTTACTCTTTCGTTCGTCGTAGGCTAGCGTCGTACTTTTAAGGAATTCAACGTGGCGCACAAAAAGCGTTTCGTAATTGTACTGTGAAAAACCGTGAATAAAATAGAGAATCCTGATATATTTATTACGCGTGTGTTTGTGTTCGTGTGCGTGTATACATATACGCGTTAATGTTTTTAGGGTCGTACCTAATGCACAAAATTATACTTCCTTGCGTCGTTCTAATTCGACGAGAGGAATAGTATGTGTATTCAGAGGTACGTCGAGAATTAAATTTACGTATTCATAATGCACATTTGGTACCGACATTTGTGCCTGTTGAATAACAAAGATCAACCCGTTCGAGATATTTTAGAATAGTAACTTAAAAAGTAACTTAAAAGGAACGAATACATGGTCAATGTAAATATTAATTCTTTTAAAATTTAACAGGAGAAAGACTTTGGTATCAATTATAGTAAGTAATATAAATTTCATTCATTAAGTAATTATCGATATTGGTTAATAGTTGTTTATATTTAGTTAATTATCAATATTTATTTCCCAGGAGAAGTTGAAGTTACGTTTTTGTTTGTATTTAATACCAAAAATGCAAGAAATCTTCACGATAAAGAAATAATTCTTTTTTAAACCGTTCATTCTGAATTCTTTGTTATTTTATAATATTATACTGTCAAAGAGTTAAATCTTCAAAATATCTATCTTTCCCAGAATCTCCCATTATATCACCAAACTTGATTCTTTTTAGACACAAGTTCCATTTTACATCTTAAAGAGGAAATTTAAGAACAGTTATTACACAATTTCCACTAAAATATCTCTCCTTTCGTCCGTCGGTAATCCTACGATCTCGAAAGGGTTATCATCGTCTTCCATTCGTACAGTATTTATTACCTAAATAATTATCTCACACTACATATTTTCTCTTACTTATATCTACGAAATATATATGTATATATAACATGTGTGTATATGTGTATGTATATATATATATATGTGTGTATATATATCCCATCTTGTAGAACTAGTACAATATATCATAAACTTTACAGAGTGACGCTACGTCATAGAAGCATGCGTTAGAAAAATAATGTTTCTGATCAAAAAATAGGAGAAAACAAGCGGCGTGGAGGTGGAGGGTAAAAAAAGATTTTTTTCTGGTAATCGTCGCCAAGTAAACGTGAAACGTGGAACAAGGGGGACTGTAACTTCCGTCGGTAAGGGTCGGGGAATGCATTCGAGACAGTACAATTAACATCCGACAATGACGGATGAGAGACAGATCGTAGAATTCGAGGTAGAAAGTACATAGGGTCTTGTTGAGACAGAGAGGAATCGAGAAAGAGGTACGAAGCTTGTTAAAAGGAAAAGAAACGCACGGTCAAGTAGAATGAAAGAATTGTAAAAAAACCGGTCCCCGCCTCCACACCGCGCGAACCTTACCTTTCGAATTCCTTGAATTGCTTAATTAATGGACGTAACATCATACACGTTACTTTGCTTATTTAATGGACGTAACACCATGTTGAATGAGTTGAAATCATTTGCGTGCGTGTGTAAGTGCATGCTCGGTTTTCGATCGTTCGACATTCAATCGCGATCAATCGATCATTCAGTGGAAAAGTATTCGATGTTTGGATTTAATGAGAAAAAAAAGGAAAGACGATTGAAATAGATTGAAAGAAAAAAAAAGGAAGAGAATTAATTAAACGGTTGTGTTTTGAATTATCGGTCGAGTAGTTTGGCTTTCGTTCGATCACTCGAACGAAAGTGTGTGGAATTAAAACGAGTCTTTTTTCTGTTTTCCTTTTTGGAAACGTTAACGACGTAAATATCTTTGCATCCGGGTCTGTACTTCTGTACCATTGTTCGATATTGCGTTTTTCTTTTCTCTTTTTTTTCCGCTAGAATTTTCACGTCGGAACGAACAGTCTACTAAGCACCTCGATTTTCGACAAATTTTCATCATCTTGTTGCTCTCCCCTACAAGCTATGTAGTCGAACGAATCGCAATATCGACAAATCGAGCACAGGTCGTCTGCATCGCCTGACAGAACTCTCGCAAATATTCGTTCATCCATTCTACTACATCTATTGTGCTTCTCATAGAAAAATAACTTCTGTCTCTGACAAGAAGGCGGAAAGAACGTTGTCCGCTTCGTTCAATGCCCAAATTCGATTTAACCCTTTCAGCCTCGATAATACTATTTTACACCGAATCCATGAAGAAACCTTTTTATCTGTGCGTTCAGCTTTTGAGCTTCTTTCCACCTCTCAGAAATCTTACATCCTTTAACCGAAACGATAAAAAAACGAAAGAAAAGAAATTGTTATGTACCAGAGGTTGAAAGGGTTAAGTGGCTGTCAATCACGAATGCGAATTACCTACATAATAGCTAGTAACAATCTACGACCAGGTACGAGTTCTTTGCTAATTCACACCTTGAGAATTTCAAGATTTGCCAGTGTTAGGGTAAGGCTATGAAGAGCGACCATATAACACGGTGATGACTTATGCGCGAAAGAAGTCATACAAATAGAATTTTTGTACAGCAAACACCTTTCAATTTGCACCAAGGTCTTTTATGACAAAGAAATACGTTCAACCCATGGCGTAGTCATCAGTGACTCACGACAACTTTGTTTTCATGATAGATTGTTTACTTCGAGTTATTCGGTAGAACAAACCGACGGTGGGTTATTTTTATGTTTTGTAATTTCTTACATCAACGTTTTTCTGTGCCGACCTTTTTTATGTTTCATAACGATCCTCGTTGCATAAGGATACTTCCCGATTATATGTTATCCCCTAACAGTATTTTATCGTTCAAAGGAGAACATCCAGAATCGTTCTTGCTATAACCTTACCCTAATGCCCCTGTCTGGCACACACGCGATCGTTGAGACTAAATGGTCGGTCTGAAAATATTTTCTTTTTCGACGCATACCAAACAACGGTTCCGGTCTCTGTTCCCGTTAACACGTCGCTCAGGATGCCCGTGTAAACTGTAAGATACCCGTTCGCTAAACCATGTACAATACCACGTGCACCAAACGAGTCGAGTCCGTTCAAACATCCAACGAATGTGTTTGATCGATCAAAACGTTGACGATACGACTGAGCGAAAGCCTTAGAGTTTAGAGAAGCGGCTAGGCCATTCTCCTCTAGACCACGTTAACAAAATTCAACGATTATTCGTCCAACAACGAGCAATCGCGTGAAACACGCATTTTGGAACGTATGATACTTTGGAATGTACTTGGGTATTAATAATTATTGGTCGATGGAGGTTGGAATGTATTTAAACGTTGTTGCACTGTTGAAGCTCGAGAAATTGTTGGTTGCGCGCGGTTCTTGTCGTGAATAGACCCTAGATTCTTAAGCAAAGATTCTGCAAAGTTCTTTGCCCTTGATATTAGCTTCGTTTTTCCGCGAAGAAGCATGTATTTTAGTCACACTAGCTGTTGTTATGTGGCCATAAGTTAGAACACAACGTGTTATACGCCCTACGGGTAACATTACATTCTATAACGAACACTAAACACAGTATCACACTGAACAACATACAGGCTACGAATTAATTCGTGGACCGTGTAAGGGTAATCGTAAAAACGATCCATCGGTATATCTTGATCTTAACCCTTAAATTAATTCTTCGTTACATAATCATTTGTCGCAGGCAACACTTTCTCTCCGATAGAATCGGAGGAGGCAGACCCACCCCCCTTTCCTGCCCTCGAGCAGCCCCTTCTCGCTTGTTCTCGTCAGGAATCCAGGATCTAGTCACGAACACCGCCCCTCTTTAAACTGGTCTCGACTCATTCGTTATAAAACGCGACGCGACTCGCGTTTGGTTCTATCGCAGTGTGTGTGTGTGTACATATTTTATTTATAATACTTATACTCATAGGGTTGCGCGGCCCTTCGACGTTGCGGCGAAGGCGGGGACCGTCCGGCCTGCGTCCTGGGATGGCATGCACAGAACACAGCACAAAATGCCACACAGTTACACAGACAAACAAATCGACAGAGAAGAAAAGGTACAGATAAAGAGACCCGTCACCTGGGCGAGGATGGACAAATCCATGGGTGTGTTATTCGGGGTTAAGGTCGTGATTAATAATCGTGAATTAATGTACTCTGACTCGAGGGAGGAGATAATCTTTGGGTGAATTATACAAAGGTGAATTATACAAAGGCGAATTAAAAAGCGTTAAGGTCGAAGAGTAAAAGCTATCGATGAACGTTAATGCTTGACGTTCGTATAAAAATGGTGACCGTTGCTTCGAACCATTTTCTCCAACTATATGTATAGAAATCGTTGTTCGGTTCGTGGTAGAGAAAGTTGATTAACGAGACGAACGAGTAGTTTGATCGTGGAGAGAAGTAAAAATATTCGGAGTGCTTACTTCAATTACGTTCGCTAACTAATGGCTATATGTAAACTATAGAGCGGGAATTAAGATGCGAGAAAAGAAAGAAGGATGCGATCATTACGGTCGCTAGAGATTGAGCAGAGAAAGATCGTATGATGCGTCTAATGAGCAGGCAGAGTGAATATATTATAATGGTATATATAAAATTGAAAAGTAAGAATCGAAAGTGCAATGGCGTTATAGAAGAGAAGTAATAAACTTTAATAAATCGGAGAACTCGATATGAAATCGTGCTACGAGGCTAGCGAAATTCTACTCTGGTTCCTTTTACTTGTTCTCGTTCTAGAGGCTCATCTAAACGATTACGTCGTCCCGAAGGTATTTCCTTTCATGAGAAAACTCTCTCTCTCTTTCTCTCTCGTTGCGAGATAGTTAGCTATAAATTCTTAATGTTCTCGCGGGAAGCGTGAATGAACGAGTAACAGCGAACGATTGTTATCTTGTTTAACATCCGGTGGTATTTTTGAACGACACTCTTGGAAAAGCGTCTCGTTGCATTTCGTCGAAAAATCGTTGCGATCGAGCGTACTTTTAAAACGAAACCGATTTTAATACGTTGAAACTATTTCCCGAACTTTTTACAAATTTTCCTTTTTTTCCGCGTCGCGGCTTTCCCGAAAGGAACTTCCTCGAACGTTTGTCGAAGAAATATAATCCCCGGAGAATCTCGGTGGATAGACTCGTGACAAAGGCCTAAATAATGCACTAAAGGGAAAGCCTATGAAAAAAGGAGTAGCGAATCTATATGGATCTTCCTTGATTTAACATTCATGATACTCGGAAGGATGCGGACAACACGTGAAACGTATTCCGGATCATTGAATTATATATAACGAGATACTACATCCGAGAAGATATGTAAAAGGAATACTTCATATATCTTAATTTGAACAACCACAAACGAAGAAGATAAGGTAATTCATATATTTAGATTAAAAATTATACAATAAAACGTTAGAATTTAATGTAAATTTACTTCGAAGAAATACAAAATTTTTTGTTTATCACGTATTCCAAACTTCAATTCGAATAACGGATTAAACAGGATATGTTACACAGAAATAAAGAAACAAAGCTATAAATTAGCGTGTGAAGTTCAGATCCAAAAAGCTCGCAGCTCCTTTTCGAGGTCTCGTGACGCAAGTGCAAGGACATCGATGTCGCGTGACAAGTAAAGAGACATAAGAATATGCGAATGTAATATCTATGTGGTGGATGGTAAGTACGAAAGAAAGAAGACTCACCTTCGACATGCCGCCTCCGCCACCGCCTCCGCCACCGGATGCGGTCGAACCGCGTCCGGGAGCG